TGCTGCTTAAGAAATCTTGGTCTTCCAGCGCACTGTCTATCAAAATGTTTCATGAGTAATGTATGTAATCTGTATTTATAAATCCCTTTAAAAGAAAAAAGAACTGCATATAAAATAAAATAAATAGAGAGTGTTTATGCATCTGAATTGAACTTGCCTGGAAAGCATGCGCAGAAGCTTCTTTCAGGGTGGCGAGTATTTGCCGGCATGATCTGGCCATTTACTTGCTGATCGGCCTCCACCTTCTTGCCTTCATGAACAATGCTAACCTCACAAAAGTCCGGCGCATTCTTCCTAACAAACTCTCCTAATGACAATTTTTCCCGCACTCGCCTGAACAACATGAATTTGACCCTGTTAGTTAAATGTCAAGTTCACTGCTGTGCATGCAACAGAATTATCGAACACATTGTGAATCGCATCTCTTGTGAAACGTGAGACCTACTTAATCTGATTAACAATGTATGTTGTCAGTAAATGTGGCACAAATGGCCAGAATTTCATGTTGGTGGAACAAAAGAAAACAGGCAAACATACCTTGAGTGAGGTGGTCTTTTGGTTCCTATGACAAGGTGGATGATGCTAAGAACAGGAATGAGATCAAGAATTGCTTTTGCCGTGTCCTTGCTATCAAGGAGCATTGTCTCCACTGTTACCTGCAGTCACATGAAAACCACAAGTTTTCATTCATCATCAGACAAATTGAAATTATATATTGGTTTTTGGCAACATATGCTACGGTGGGTGGGGGGAAGAGTAAAATCCACACCTTAGCATCATTGCACAAGCTCACATATTTCTGCAACAGGTTCCTCCTCTTGTTACTCTCTTCATTAATGTGTAATCTCACTTGATCTTCAGTCAATTGGCTCTTTGCTAATCTTCCAACTACTCAGCATTTCACAAAGAGAAAATAGAAAAGAAAATTGCTTAGGATTTGATACTTCAACATACAAAAGTCGCAAAATATTAAAGTAACCCCCTTTCATAACTTCGTGATACCAATTCAATTCTTATAAGCTTATAACAGAGCACAAGTGAAGCAAACACAACCATCCAGTCTGATACAGATTAGACTAGACTGCAGAAACAAGAACTTGGTCAAAAAAACAATTTGTAAGCATGATGTGTTCTTTGATCACTGATCAGAACCCTCAAAATCAATTTGTTGTGTCTGACTCTGATCTGATCAGAATCCCATATATATAACACACAAAGAAACATGAACAAGTACATTGGCGTTACCTGGTGTAGGGATGTAGGTGATTGGAGCGAAGACATGGACTAGAAAAACCCGAGTGCCAGGGGAAACAGCATTATCAAGCGTCCATTTCAGAACATCTGTGTCATCTTTACCAACAGCAACATATACATCCTTGAGAACTCTATCTACCTTCACATTCTCACAGCTAGTGCCGCCCGCAGCGGTACTACAACTCCTGCTCTCCTCTTCTATCTCCTCTTCTATCTCCTCTTTTACCTCCACAATCTCTGGTGACAACGCTCGTGCACTATATCTCTTATAAAAATCCTTGGCTTCCACCAGAACATACTCTTTTTCTTCCATAGAGGCGTAACGAATCAGAAGTAGGGTGACAAAAAGAAAATTGACAGAGAGATGACAGGAAGCGAAGGTAACAAGACTGGATGCTAGTAACTTGGCAGTTTTATAGTGAAAGAGTCGTTGCTCTCAAAGCCACCAAGAGAAAAGAGGAGAGAAAAAAAAAGGGAGAGATTCTCTTTTGTCAATGCTTAGGCTCTTTCATATGTCATGTAGCCCCATCTCTTCTGCATAGGTGCCTTTTGGTCTAAAAGAAATTCAACTTTCATGGTTTTTTTTTTCTCCTCCATAGATTCTAGTTTTGCTAGGCCTTAGGAATTGACCTTGCATTTTGGGAATAGCTGTATGGATGGTGTTTAAAAACAAGATGGGTTGAATTTGATGACCCTACAAAGTTAGGCAAAAACATGAGCTCGTGTAGAATGTGGTCTTTATTACTAGAACAACACAAAGAAAAGCAGGCCATATATTCCGTTCCATGCATAGTGCCAAAGTGGTAGGAATTTCTTGCAGAGAACTCAAAGCCTATGTTTTACCGACGCCTTGTCGTGTCACAAGACTTCTCACATATATTTGGCATGCATACAAACAGGTTTCCAAATTACATGTGATACATATATTGTCCCCACACACACACACACACACCAAAAAAAAAAGAAGCCAAAGTGTGCGCCTGTCAAACAATATATACTTTTTTCTTACCCTCAACTGTCCCACGTTATTGACATTGTGGTGCCATTTTAAATCATAGATTGATCCACAAGCAATCAAATTTACGCTCTTGCTTTTTCTTTGGGCTTGATCCCCTTGTTTATTCGGGCTTGGGCACCCGTTTCGGGCTCACTTTAACTCCGTGCTCACCCTTTTAAAGAAGGAAAAAAAATATAAATGTGATCAATATAACATTACTTTCTTAAGTTTAAAAGTTTTTACTCAATTAAAAGCTAACTATTCATCCATTTGAACTCGGTATTTCTAATCATGGCGTCAAAACAGGCTAGCTTAAAGCAAAGAAAATGAATTACACCTTTCCTAGTCATAGGATGCCACCAAGGAGTTTAGATACGGACCAGACAAGAAACAGCTGCAGCAACAAATGGATTTTGTTCTTATGCTGCTCTGCTATGAAGGATTTAAATAAAGTTTACATTGGGATTTCCTAAGTATACAAATCTTTTATTCAAGAAGAAAGTTCAAAAACATGGGCTCTAGATGAAGGTAATTTGTGGCTCTTCTAAAATAAATGGAATGAGTAAATAAAAATATTATTTACTTTTTCTTGGGCCCAGATTGGGCATCTTCTTACTTGAGCCTAGAGCCCATAAATGGTTTCATCTGCCATAAAAAAGTTTCATCCTTTAGACATACCCCTAAATTAAGGTTACTTTTTAATTGCTAACGAGGTCTACTTTAATAGAAAAGGGTTGTGACTTGCAAACTAATAGTTTTAGGTTTGAACTCTCACGTTACCATGATAGTGTGTGTGTGTGTGTGTGAGAAACCCCCCTTGTCATAAAGTTCGCATTTACTAATCATACATGATGAGTCTTAACCCTGTTAAATTGTAATGGTTCATATTTATTATTAGAATTCTCATTGACATGCATTAACGTCCACTTTGTTATATTTTAAAGTATACTTTGATCAAGAGATTTGTAATTCAAGTAGTTAAGAGTATTTACCCTACCACTTGAGGTTATAAGTTCGATCCCTTCTCCCCCAATATACCTCGTATCAAAAAAGTCTACTTTGATATGCCATAAAGTTCGATCTCTAAAACTTTCTAATAAAATTGTTGCTAATGATGAAGGTATACAAGTAGAATGGAACAGATAGGAAAACAGTTCCAAACTCTTAGACATGGGTTAATTAAAGTTCATCTTAGAATTCTCGTTGACATGTCTTAAGCTCTGCTACTTTTTATGAACTGATCATTACATTAATTTAGTTGATATAACTCTTACGGCCAAACCATCCTCCACATGTCAAATTGATACGAACATATGGTGCATGCTGTGCTCTGTCATGATTTCATCTTGTGCAGTGTTTGGTAAGCCTGCACTGATCATGGCCATACGTATCTACTGGATGATTTGCTATGTATATCATATAAAGTTTGAATAAGAGCAGTTCCATCGGGAGGCACTAGTCTGGTTTCCTATTTATATGAATAGTGTCCGTCCTAGTAAATTTTTTGGTGGTTTTTCACCTGTTGTCATGACAACTCAAGAGCAACCATTATTCACGTGAGATATGAGGAGAGGAATTTGTATAGAGTTTTGGTGTGGGAAGTAAAGAATATGGCTAGGTATTTATTTTTAAAAAAAAATTCTGAAAATTTTGGTTTTTTTTTTCTTCAATTTTTTTGTTATTTAAATTAGCTGATGTCAGCATTAGGCTAGCTTACCCAGGCAAGTCTTGCTTTTGGGCTTGCCTAAGTTGGTGGGGCCCATCTCTTACGCTAGCAAGAATGAGGCGCTGGAAACACAAATGGGGTCCTCTTGTCCGGGCTGGAACCTCCTGTTGGAAGTGCTCTTATATACTATATTATGTGGTGGGAGAATTAGACAATGGTCACAAACAATGATGCTAGATGGAAATTGTGTTTGTGTCAAACAAATCAAAGTGGCCACCGTGAGAGCTTGTGTATAATATATATATATATATATATATATGAAGAAATAATTATGTGCCAAATCAGTTAGAAATTATGCAGAATAAGAAGCTAAACTGCATAATGCAAAATCATCCTATTTTAGCCTTTGGGAGATTTGGAACTCAGTGACTTCTCACACTACTAGTTGGCTAGTTGGCATGTTTTTCACTCAATGCAGAAACTTTCACCTCACGAGTTACTTTCTAGTCTGGCGTGGCCTCAGCAAAATGAACCGAATCTTATCAACCAAGAGTAATACGACAAAGAGAACTGGGTGGATCAAAATTCCAATGCATAATAAAGGGGACCATTTTCGTAAAACCAGTCCAACTCAACTTGCGAACTAGTGATCTCATGTTTGAATTCCCATAGCACCGTGGTAGTGTGTATGTGAGAAAACCCCCTTCTGCTGTAGTTTAGACTGTCACTTACTAAAAAAAAGGATCATTTTCAGAGAAAAGATGATCGCAACAGAAAACCAAAAGCTCCAATTAATTTTTTAAAAAACAGATTGTGACCCTTTAATGTCATATGCATGACATATAAGATGTCTCATTTTCAATTCACAAAAGCCATTGTGTCACACCTTCTTATTGTGATCAAAGGAGAAAAAATACCAAAAAATTTGTTATAATTAATCGGAAAATTTATTAATTATAATGCATGTCTTATTCATATCTTGCAGCTCATATTGCAGACAGGTCATATATTCTTTGGGATTTCCAACTATAAGTACCTCTATTGGGATTTGTAAGTGACAGGCACTCCGTGGGGAGGTGGTGGGCTACTTTTGAAGCTCCTTTTGGCTAGTGGAGACAAGCTTTTCCCGAGCCCTTTTTATAGAAGTCCCTTTAGTACTTGGTGTGGTGAATTCAAAAACTAGTTCTGCCTCTGGAAAGAAACTGACATGGCAAATTCTACTCTTCTGGTTGCTCTTAAGATCCTTTCGATTTTAATATTTGCTGCTTGGGTTTCTCTTTGGCTTCTGAAGCCAACACAGCTATGGACAAGAAAATGGAAGGCGGCTGAAGATAAAGCAAGGGCTACAGTGTTTGGATATTATGGTACATAATTCAGATTTCATTTGGAATTATAGGTTTTGCTTTCTGCTATCCAATGGGGGGAAAGACAAACACTATACTGAATATTTTGCAGGTCTTAATTTTGCTGTGTATACATTTCCTCCTATTGCTTTGGCTATTATTGGATCATTCTACTTGAATTTGAAGCCAAGGGAGTCAATAAGAAGGTAGTGCATGTTATTATGTCATTGGGTTATGATCACTCAAGATGCCAATTTAACTTCTACTTGTGTGCTTTAATTTTGATAGCAGAAAAGGGAGGAAATTGACTGCTGGCTTCTCAAATCCATTGCTAGTGAACACCCTTGTGGGTGTTTTGTCCACTCTAGAAATACTAGCAGTCTTCCTCTTTATCCTCTTCTTAGCTTGGAATTTTTATGCACGCATCTCAAATGATTTCAAGAACTTGAAGCCTGCTAAATCACTAATGCTGAATTCGTGAGTTCTAAATCCGAAAATTTTCTATTTCGAACACTTAGAAACAAGAACTTCATTATGATTGATGCTTAAACTGTATCTCAGATGGCAACTCAAGTACCTAAAGGTGGCAACTCGGTTTGGTTTGTTAGCAGAAGTCTGCCTGGCTTTTCTTCTTTTCCCTATATTAAGAGGACTTGCCTTATTTCGGTTGCTTGGCATCCAGTTTGAAGCTTCTGTAAGATACCATATATGGCTTGGGACTGCATTGATATTTTTTGCCACTTTCCATGGTGCAAGCACTTTGTTCGTTTGGGGGGTCAGCCACTATATCCAGGAGGAGGTAAATCCTAGTCCTTTTTTCATTTGGAACATTTCAATCATTTGGTTTTCTGTTCAGTGTAAACTCTGCTGTATTATTTTGGTTTTGGCATTATTTAGTTTTGCTGATCTTTTTGGTGCAATTCATTCAATCACAGATATGGGAATGGCAGAAAACCGGGCGGATATACCTTGCTGGGGAGATCTGTCTGGTCACAGGGTTAGTGATTTGGATCACATCGCTTCCTCAAATAAGGAGAAAACAGTTTGAAATATTTTACTACACACACCATCTCTACATGGTTTTT